CAAATGCTTTTTAAAAAGGGACAAAAGGAAGCTTAATCTAAATCGGTCAGAAAACTGGACGAGTCGCCTTCTCCCTTCTTTTAAAAACCCTCCTTGCTTTTAAGGAACAAGGAAAGGATTTCTCTCCATGACCTCTTTGTCCAGGCGAGCTTCCAGAATATTCCGGGGCCATTCTTTTGATTTATGAGCCTTCCCTGAATAATATATTCTAAGGCCATCACTAGCAGGACGCTGAAGGAAAATCCTTGTTCCACACGTCTCGTTTCCCCCCGCCCCCACCCCGAAGACCAAAGCCCTCCTCCTGCTAGCACATTTTGTTTTTAAATTTAGAAATCTATTTATATAAACCTTGCCAGGGCTTTGAGCTGAACGCTAAAATTAAAAGTATGAGTGGAGCCCTCAAAATGTAGCCTGCTAATATTTCAGGGCTGTTTGTGTATATATATTTATATAGATCTATCTTCATCCATCTCTCTCTCTCTCTCTCTCTCTCTCTCTCTCTTTCTCTCTCTCTCTCTCTCTCTCTCTCATCACACACGGCGCCACTTCGTTGAGGTGACAGAAATACTTCCGACTCCGTTTCAACTCAGCCAATTGCTGAAGGGATTTGGAGGCAGGGAGATCATCTCTGGGGTCAGTTGAAAAGGGGACACTTTTCATTTAAGGTCTGAACTCCAAGAGATCAAAGCCAGTTGAGGAGAAGGAGTTTTGAAATGAGGATGAGGTTCTCTAGGGATCCTGATATCCAAGGAAACTTTTTTTTTTCAGAACCAAAGGTGGCTTTTTTCAAGAGGTAACTGTACTTTCTGGTTTTTCTTTGAAGACGTTGGATGAGAGTGGATGAGAAGCAAGACATCTTCAAAGAAAGAAAAAACAGAAAGTCCAGTTGACTCTTGAAAAAAGCATCTTTGGGACAACCATGACCTGGATGGCTGAGAATCTCCATAGACACTTAGTTAGGTGGCCTCAACGGTCCTCTAAAAGGGTGCAAATGACCAGCTGTCTGCAAGGAGTCTAAATCCTTCCATTCCACACCATCCAGTCAGAGCTGAAGAAGCTTCTTGGACAAGAAGCAAAACCTCTTCAAAGGAAAACCAGAAAGTCCAGTTGTCTCTTGCAAAAAGCACCTTTGGGACAACCAGGAGACCTGGTTGACTGAGAATTTCCATAGATTATTTTTTTTAAAATAAATACTGAGGTTACTGGAGGCAACTGGAGAAAAGATGGCAGGACATGGAATGCAATGATCAATGGAGGTAACAGAATGACAGGGTTGGAAGGGACCTTGGAGGTTTTCTAGTCCAAGCAGGAACCCTGTACAATTCCAGAAAAATGGCTGTTCAATCTCTTCTTAAAAACCTCCATTGTTGGAGCGCCCACCATTTCTGACAGCCCTTTAGATATTGGAAGACTGCTATCATGTCACCTCTAGTCCTTTTCACTAGACTAGCCAAACCCAGTTCCTGCAACTGTTCTTCGTATGTTTTAGCCTCCAGTTCCCTAATCATCTTTGTTGCTCTTCTCTGCACTCTTTCAAGAGTCTCGACATCATTTTTAAATTGTGGTGACCAAAACTAGATGCTCCTCATAACTTTGTGAGACACTGGGACAACTCAAATAATATAATTTAATCAGATGAAGCCATTTATGAACTGCAAGTTTTATTACAGATTAAAATGATCCCCAATTGGTCAACAAGTCTGATAACTTATTTGCAAAGAACCTCATCAGAACATCACCATGAATTCATCACTAGTAGAAGTTCGCTTTAATGGAGCTGGTGAATTAAGTTGTCCACCTACCAGGACATGTTTTGGGACTGAAATTACCATCTCTTTCTAACAGGAGAGACCTTTTCCTTGTTCAGTTCTATTAGTTGCATTATTTGTGCTTCTGTATAGCTACGCTGAAGTTAATAATAAATAAATGAGTTTAGGTGACACCTAAAGAGCTGTAGTATAGGGAATATTCAATATGAAATTAATCCAACCATTTCTGTCTTTTAAAACCTTCCAGATGACACCTTTACCAAGGTTTCGAAATGCCTAGCAGTATTGAAGTGGCCAAATAACTCATGAAAGTGAAAAGCTTAGAGAGTCAGATAACAGATAATCAGAGTTGGAAGGGACCTTGTAGGTCATCTAGTCCAGTCCCCCACCCAAGCAGGAGACCCTGCACCATTTGTGACAAATGGCAGTCCAGTCTCTTCTTGAAGGTCTCAAGTGATGACACTCCCATACCTTTTTTTTTTGCTTATTTTAACCTTTATTTCTGGTCTGTCTTTTACAGTTATGTTTTTGGTGGGTTGAGCTATAGTTTCTTTTTGCGTGAAGACCGATGAAAAGAATGAATTAAGCAGCTCTGCTTTCTCTTTGCTGCCTGTTACTTCCTTGCCATCTTCTCTCCTTAGTGGACCGACTGCTTCCTTGATTTTTTTTTCTTGTTATTTATATGTTGGAAGAAACTTTTTAAAAATTATCTTTGACTTTTGTTGCAAGTCTGTTCGTTCTGAGCCTTTGCTTTCCTGACTTTGTCTTTGCAGATTCTGGCTATCAGCTGATATTCTGCCTTAGTTGTATGTCCTTCTTTCCATTTTTTTGTACTTGTCCTTTTTTTCTTTCAATTTGCCAGTCCAAAATCCTGGGTCTGTAATATTGCCGTTTCTCTTTCAACAAACTTTAAATCCCTCAGAAATCTCAGGAAATGCACTGGACAAAATATAAAAGAGGACAAAAACAGGAGCCAATCAAAAATAATTTACTAGTGCAACAACAGACAAAAGTAAGCAAAGGAATTTAGGAAAGCCATCCTCCTTGGGTACAGCACTGAAAGGGTTTAAGTCTGGAAATTAATTTACTTGTCCTTTGTGCTCAGAGGCCCAGTGCTTTCATCTTTGTACAGAACATCCTGGAAAACCAGCTTAACGCATGTTTAACATTTTGTTTGCTAATAAAACAACACAATTGAGCCTCTGTTAATACATTGTTTTAAGTAGAACCTCAAGGGAACTGGTTCGAAGCTCTCCATAAAAGTATTCTATCACTTTAATTCCCGTCTCTCTCTTTCTTTCTTTCTTTCTCTTTCCCCCACTCTCTCTGAGAGCTTGTTTAAAAAATGTTCTTTTTTTATTGGTAGCCTGGTTTTCGAAAACAAAGATCAATAGCACAAAGTTTAGTGTAACCCTCCTAAGATGCAGAAATGCCGGAGGGTGCAATCCAAAATCAGTGTCCTTCACATAGCCTGGATAAAGTAGAAGAAATAACTTTTTTCATCCTACATTGTGGACTATTTCACCCAAGGCATGATTTGATCCCTTAATCCCACTCCCAGAGACTGTTTCCTCAGCACACACACACACACACACACACACACACACACAAACCCACCTCAAGTTACCTCCACATCTGGTCAGAAAAAGGGAAGGTCTTAGCAACAAAGGGACTTTGCTTTTTAAAACTAGTTTTTTCTCCCACCCAGACCAAGATATAAGCCCACTTTAGTTCAGTTTTAGTTTACTTTATTGTCATTGCACCTCGTACAATGAAATCAAACACCATCTTCAGTGTACATCATGACCATGACCATGAAAATAAACACAAACACACATCCTTCACCCTTCACACATTGAACCGAAAACCCCTGACACCACACCAACACTGCACTATACAGCAGAATTCAATAGAGTTACTGCCATGGGATAGAAGCTGTTTTTCAGCCTGTTTGTTCTTGTTTTTATTATCCTGTACCTTCTGCCAGTTGGTAATAGTTCAGAAAAAAGGGTGCCCAGGATGTGATGGATCTTTGAGAATGTTTTGAACTTTCTTAAGGCAGCAGGAGCTATAAAGCTCTTCCAAAGAGGGGAGAGGGCAATCCATGATCTTCTGGGCAATGATGTTCACCCTCTGGAGTGCTTTCCTATCTGCCACTGTGCAATTGGCAAACCAGACACGGGTGCAGTAAGTTTTTTTTTTTAATTTTATTGGTTTTTAAAAACAAACATAAACAAACAAAACATAAAAAATCAAGCTATCTTCCATAGGTGTACATACAGTGTGCCGGTTGGTTTACAAATTGTTTTGTGCTTCCATTTCGTAGTCTTCAATTACCATTACATTACATATAATCTCATATTGTCAATCAAAAATTAAATACCTTAGTATCATTATTAATCAATCATTTGACTGTACTTTTATTCATTCATGTTTTACAAGATAACCATAATTTACTTAGTTTATTTTATAACGGTTCATATTATCATCCCAAATCTATCCTAAAATCATTTTGTAGATATAATAAGAAAGAAGTACATCTTTATATATTTATTATTTTCTAAAAGTCTACATATTTCATTACTGTACTTTATTGTCTAACCATTGATAGAAAAGATCCCAAATTTTATAAAATTGTTTATCCTCTTGTTCTCTAATTTCAAATGTCAATCTACTCATTTCAGCACATTCCAATATTTTCTTAATGATTTCCTCCTGTGATGGTATTTTCTCATTTTTCCAGTTTTTAGCAAATACAATCCTAGCCGCTGTTCAGGTATTTCAAGTCTTTACTATATATTTCAGGTAAAATTCCCAATAAAAATATCTCTGGTTTCAAGTCTATATGTTTTTTTGTCATTTTTTCCAACCACATGTGGATTTTAGTCCAGTATTTTTTAGCATCTGCACAAGTCCACCACATATGGTAATATGAGCCAGGTGTCTGATGACATTTCCAACATTTTTCGGATTTATTCTTGAACATTCTTGCTATTCGTGTCAGGGGAAAATGCCACCTGTTAAACATCTTATACAAATTTTCTTTATATGCTGTTGACATTGTCATTTTATAATTTTGAGACCACAATTTTTGCCATTTCTCTAAATCAATCCGATATCCAAAATTCTTCCCCCAAGCAATCATAGTTTCTTTAACTTGTTCTTCTCTAGTTTAATTTCTAATAAATATCCATACAATTTTTTAATCACCTTTTCATCAGTACCTGTCAAAATCTTATTTAAGTCAGTCAGTTTATCATAGAAACCTTCTGTTTTAGAATCTTTATCATACCTTGAATGTATTTACGCATATGAAAACTAATTCATCTTTATACCTTGTTCCTCTAGTTTTTGCATAGGTTTAAGTTCACCCCTTTCATTCAATGTTTCACCATATCTAACTGTTTGTTCCTTTTTGTATATTATAGGATATGAAAATGCTTCAATAGTCGATAACCAGACTGGAATTTTCAAATAACATTGTCTTTTAATCTTCTCCCAGTTTAACCACAGAGACTCCCGTATATAATGTCTTCTAAAATACCCCTGTGTTTTAGTTCCTTTGTACCATAAAAAAGCATGCCACCCCAACAACAAATCACGTCCTTCTAATGTCACCAATCCAGTATTTCTTAGTGTTATCCATTCCTTAACCCACATCAGATTTGTAGCTTGGTAGTACAACTCCCAATTAGGCAAACCAAATCCTCCTCTAATTCTAGCATCTTGCAAAAGTTTTAACTTTATTCTCGCTTTCTTACCTTGCCATATATATTTCAACACATAGAAGTCTCGAATGATTTCCTTCTTCTCTTTGCTACCATGGCAAACTTGGCCTTGGTCATCTATTAATTGCAATATTTTCCTTGATTCTTTCTCCTTTCTCAATTTGTATGCTAACCATCTACCTGGTTTGTTTGCGCCTTTAAAGTAGTTCTGTTTAGCACTTCTAATTTTCTGTGCTAATTCTTCTTTTTCTATTTGACCCAATTTGTGTTTAATTATATCCATTTTTAGCTTGATGTCCTTTTTCTGTGGCATTTTCTGTAGCTCTTTTTCAAGTCTTTTATGCTCATCCTCTAGGGCCTTAGACGCTAGCCTTTTCATAGTATTCCTTTTCCTTATATAGTCTATTATCAAGCCTCTAACATGTGTCTTCATTGTATCCCATACATTCTGAACTGATGTATCTTCTTTTTTGTTTTCTCTAAAGAAAAAAGCCAATTCTTTCTCCATCCACTGTGTGAAGTCTTTTTCCTTTAAAATAGTATTATTTAACGTCCATTCAGATCTTCTTTTTTGACCTTTCCATTTAATTGTCATTGGATTGTGATCTGCCCAAGTACTTGTTTCAATATTTTATTTCTTGAATGTTAGATATTAATTCTGTTGACATCCATATCTTTCTTTCTCAGCTTTGTCTGGTCACAGGGAAATAGTATATTTTCAAGCCTCTAGTTGGCAGTGTTACAAAGTCTCTTTGCCCTCACTTTCCCCCTCCTTTTCCGAGCAGGATATAATAAGAATTAATAAAAAAAAGAAAAAGATATTTTTAAAAAATGAAATAACAAAAGGGAGCCTCTAGCCTAAAATATTACAAAATCAAAAAGGAGAAGAAAAAATAGATATAAACGAAAAAACCAGGCCAGTTTCAAAATACAAGATCATATATAGAAAATCCAGAAATGAGAAAAAATAAAACAAAACATTACTTTGACATTCCTGTTTAAAACCGCCGCTTAATCACTTCTGTCAAAACTTTTACAGATTCTTTCTTTTCCTTAGGGTGTCCTTAGAAAAAAAAAAAAAGTTCTCACCAAACCGGCACACGCTCTCTTTCTGCTCTCTTCCGTTTCGGAGCTGTGCCAACTTCAGAAGCTTTAATGGCTGCCTCTTTGCCACTGGCAAGAAGAGCTTCTCCTGGATCTACCAGGGACTTTGCGGTATCCCTGGGATCAACAGGATGAGCTCTTCACTTTCACCATCTCTTTGGGACAGTTTAGATCCGATAGGACCGTCCAAGAGCAAAGATATCAGCAGCGATCTCAGACCTCCAAGATCGCATGCCATATCGTCGCGACGCCAGCTCTGCCCTCTCAGAGGTGCAGTAAGTTAAGATACTCTCTACGCTGCAGCGGTAGAAGGTCACGAGCAGTTTTTCATTCAGTTGTTGTTTTTTTGTCCCCACTTCAAATTGGAATGGCTCTTCCCCACGACACACCCACAATACACAACACAAGTAGTTCTCAACGTCGTACCACAACCGAGCCCAAACATTTCTGTGGTTCAGTGAGACATTTGTTAAGTGGGGTTTTCCCCCATTTTACAGCCTTAATTGCCCCCATTGCTAAGTGAATCTTTGCCATTGATAAGTCAGTCATCTAGTGGGGTTCGGGGAATCTGTCTTCCCCATTGATTTTGCTGGTCAAAAAGTTGCAATAGGGGATCACGTGACCTTGGGTGATGGTAATTAATATGGACCAGTTGCCAATTCCTGATCGCATGATCCTGGGGATGCTACAAAGATTGTAAGTGTGGGAAAAAAGAATCATAAGAAGGGGTGGGATTCGACCGGTTCAGACCAGTTTGGTCGAAGTGACCTGTCAACTCATAAAATATTTCTATGGTCTTTTTAGAGTTGCCAACAGA